TTTAATAAATCCACGCCTCAGTTGGCCCTTGAAAAATATTCTTTAATAAATCCACGCCTCAGTTGGCCCTTGAAAAATATTTGGCCCTTTAATAAATCCACGCCTCAGTTGGCCCTTGAAAAATATTCTTTAATAAATCCACGCCTCAGTTGGCCCTTGAAAAATATTCTTTAATAAATCCACGCCTCAGTTGGCCCTTGAAAAATATTCTTTAATAAATCCACGCCTCAGTTGGCCCTTGAAAAATATTCTTTAATAAATCCACGCCTCAGTTGGCCCTTGAAAAATATTCTTTAATAAATCCACGCCTCAGTTGGCCCTTGAAAAATATTCTTTAATAAATCCACGCCTCAGTTGGCCCTTGAAAAATATTCTTTAATAAATCCACGCCTCAGTTGGCCCTTGAAAAATATTCTTTAATAAATCCACGCAGTTGGCCCTTGAAAAATATTCTTTAATAAATCCACGCCTCAGTTGGCCCTTGAAAAATATTCTTTAATAAATCCACGCCTCAGTTGGCCCTTGAAAAATATTTCTTTAATAAAAAAAATATTCTTTAATAAATCCACGCCTTGGATAGATCCTTAAAAAATATTCTTTAATAAATCCACGCCTTGGATAGATCCTTAAAAAATATTCTTTAATAAATCCACGCCTTGGATAGATCCTTAAAAAATATTCTTTAATAAATCCACGCCTTGGATAGATCCTTAAAAAATATTCTTTAATAAATCCACGCCTTGGATAGATCCTTAAAAAATATTCTTTAATAAATCCACGCCTTGGATAGATCCTTAAAAAATATTCTTTAATAAATCCACGCCTCAGTTGGCCCTTAAAAAATATTCTTTAATAAATCCACGCCTTGGATAGATCCTTAAAAAATATTCTTTAATAAATCCACGCCTTGGATAGATCCTTAAAAAATATTCTTTAATAAATCCACGCCTTGGATAGATCCTTAAAAAATATTCTTTAATAAATCCACGCCTTGGATAGATCCTTAAAAAATATTCTTTAATAAATCCACGCCTTGGATAGATCCTTAAAAAATATTCTTTAATAAATCCACGCCTTGGACAGATCCTTTAATAAATCCACGCCTTGGATAGATCCCTAAAAAATATTCTTTAAAAAATCCACGCCTTGGACAGATCCTTTAATAAATCCACGCCTCAGTTGGCCCTTGAAAAATATTCTTTAATAAATCCACGCCTCAGTTGGCCCTTAAAAAATACTCTTTAATAAATCCACGCCTTGGATAGATCCCCTTAATCCGGGGTCAATGACCCCTAATCCGGATTAAGCCTTAATCCGGGGTCAATGACCTTTAATCTGGGGTCAATGATTTTTAATCCGGGGTCAATGACCTTTAATCCGGAGTCAATGACCTTAATCCGGGGTCAATGACCCTAATCCGGGGTCAATGACCCTAATCCGGGGTCAATGACCTTTAATCCGGATTAAGTCTTAATCCGGGGTCAATGACCTTAATCCGGGGTCAATAACCTTAATCCGGATTAAGTCTTAATCCGGGGTCAATGACCTTTAATCCGGGGTCAATGACCCTAATCCGGGGTCAATGACCCTAATCCGGGGTCAATGACCTTTAATCCGGATTAAGCCTTAATCCGGGGTCAATGACCTTAATCCCGATTAAGCCTTAATCCGGGGTCAATGACCCCTAATCCGGATTAAGCCTTAATCCGGGGTCAATGACCCTTAATCCGGGGTCAATGACCTTTAATCCGGGGTCAATGATTTTTAATCCGGGGTCAATGACCTTTAATCCGGGGTCAATGACCTTAATCCGGATTAAGCCTTAATCCGGGGTCAATGACCTTTAATCCGGGGTCAATGACCTTTAATCCGGATTAAGCCTTAATCCGGGGTCAATGACCTTAATCCGGATTAAGTCTTAATCCGGGGTCAATGACCCTTAATCCGGGGTCAATGACCTTTAATCCGGGGTCAATGACCCTAATCCGGGGTCAATGACCTTTAATCCCGATTAAGCCTTAATCCGGGGTCAATGGCCTTAATCCGGATTAATCCTTAATCCAGGGCGTTAATCCGAGCGTTAATCCGGGGTCAATGACCTTAATCCGGATTAAGCCTTAATCCGGGGTCAATGTCCTTTAATCCGGGGTCAATGACCCTTAATATTTTTTAAGTATCTATACAAGGCGTGGATTTATTAAAGAATATTTTTCAAGGACCTACACAAGGCGTGGATTTATTAAAGAATATTTTTCAAGGACCTACACAAGGCGTGGATTTATTAAAGAATATTTTTCAAGGATCTATCCAAGGCGTGGATTTATTAAAGAATATTTTTTAAGTATCTATACAAGGCGTGGATTTATTAAAGAATATTTTTCAAGGACCTACACAAGGCGTGGATTTATTAAAGAATATTTTTCAAGGATCTATCCAAGGCGTGGATTTATTAAAGAATATTTTTTAAGGATCTATCCAAGGCGTGGATTTATTAAAGAATATTTTTTAAGGATCTATCCAAGGCGTGGATTTATTAAAGAATATTTTTTAAGGATCTATCCAAGGCGTGGATTTATTAAAGAATATTTTTCAAGGACCTATACAAGGCGTGGATTTTTTAAAGAATATTTTTCAAGGACCTATACAAGGCGTGGATTTTTTAAAGAATATTTTTCAAGGACCTATACAAGGCGTGGATTTTTTAAAGAATATTTTTCAAGGACCTATACAAGGCGTGGATTTTTTAAAGAATATTTTTCAAGGACCTATACAAGGCGTGGATTTTTTAAAGAATATTTTTCAAGGACCTATACAAGGCGTGGATTTTTTAAAGAATATTTTTCAAGGACCTATACAAGGCGTGGATTTTTTAAAGAATATTTTTCAAGGACCTATACAAGGCGTGGATATATTAAAGAATATTTTTTAAGGATCTATCCAAGGCGTGGATTTATTAAAGAATATTTTTTAAGGATCTATCCAAGGCGTGGATTTATTAAAGAATATTTTTTAAGGATCTATCCAAGGCGTGGATTTATTAAAGAATATTTTTTAAGGATCTATCCAAGGCGTGGATTTATTAAAGAATATTTTTTAAGGATCTATCCAAGGCGTGGATTTATTAAAGAATATTTTTTAAGGATCTATCCAAGGCGTGGATTTATTAAAGAATATTTTTTAAGGATCTATCCAAGGCGTGGATTTATTAAAGAATATTTTTTAAGGATCTATCCAAGGCGTGGATTTATTAAAGAATATTTTTTAAGGATCTATCCAAGGCGTGGATTTATTAAAGAATATTTTTTAAGGATCTATCCAAGGCGTGGATTTATTAAAGAATATTTTTTAAGGATCTATCCAAGGCGTGGATTTATTAAAGAATATTTTTTAAGGATCTATCCAAGGCGTGGATTTATTAAAGAATATTTTTTAAGGATCTATCCAAGGCGTGGATTTATTAAAGAATATTTTTTAAGGATCTATCCAAGGCGTGGATTTATTAAAGAATATTTTTTAAGGATCTATCCAAGGCGTGGATTTATTAAAGAATATTTTTTAAGGATCTATCCAAGGCGTGGATTTATTAAAGAATATTTTTATTGGGCCAACTGAGGCGTGGATTTATTAAAGAATATTTTTAAAGGGCCAACACAGGCGTGGATTTATTAAAGAATATTTTTATTGGACCTCAACCAGGTGTGGATTTATTAAGGACTATTTTTCAGGGACCTCAACCAGGCGTGGATTTATTAAAGACTATTTTTCAGGGACCTCAACCAGGCGTGGATTTATTAAAGACTATTTTTCAGGGACCTCAACCAGGCGTGGATTTATTATAGACTATTTTTCAGGGACCTCTACCAGGCGTGGATTTATTATAGACTATTTTTCAGGGACCTCAACCTGGATTTATTAAAGACTATTTTTCAGGGACCTCAACCTGGATTTATTAAAGACTATTTTTCAGGGGCCTCAACCTGGATTTATTCAAGAATATTTTTCCAGGACCTCAACATGGCAAGGAGTTATTAAAAAATATTTGTCAGCGAATATATTTTCAATTACCAAAAGAGGCATTAATTTTTAAATAATTTTTTCAAGAACCATTGCATTATCTGTAATAATCATCCGAATATCCATACCCAATATCTACACTTAATTATATTGCAAACAATTAAACACCTTTCAAAATTTTCATTTTATTCCATTTATTTATTCAAATCCGATTTCAACACATTTCCCCCCATTTAGAAACAATCATCAATGCTGGGCAATGTACCATCACAGTATTTCCAGGTGGACCAGGCAGTCCAGCCTTGTTGTTTCAACACCAATTGGGCACACTTGACGGCGGGTTCAATGCTGTCGACCAAGAAATCTTCACACTTGATCTTGCACTCGTTGTAGGAGAAGGCACCGGAGGGTGGGGAGCACCAGTAGTAGTTGTTGATTTGGAAGATACCATAGTCGCGAGAGCCATTGTGGTTCAGGCTGCCAACAGCCTTGGTGTTGTAGCTCGATTCGTGTTGAGCAATGCAAGTCCAGCGGGCCAATTGATCCTTGGGTACACCCAATTTGTACATTTCACGGGCCAAAGAGCAGCGGGTGTAGACCTCACCCAAGGCAGGGGCGACCAAGAGGACAGCAGCCAAAATAGCGAAGGTGAATTTCAACATTGTGTTTTAGTTGGAAAGTTCGAAGACAACTATAAAAATTCTTAGCTAATGGGGCCTTTTATAGGAAAATTTTCCAAGATAATTTGAAACAATTTGTTATCAATATTATCGCAACTTATCTATGCACTAACTAACCACCCTCAATACAATTTCATACTTTTACTTTTTTATTTATAAATATCAAAATATGTTTATGTTTTGAAAAGTTGTATCATCCATCATAATTAGTAACCTCTTATCGGTAGTTCGGACGCCCTAAAATTTGCTATAAAATGCCAGAACATTTTGCAAAGAGGCATAGTTTGTCTTCGAACTTTCCAACTAAATCACAATGTTGAAATTCACCTTCGCTGTTTTGGCTGCTGTCCTTCTGGTCGCCCCCACCATGGGTGAGGTCTACAACCGTTGTTCACTGGCCCGGGAAATGTACAAATTGGGTGTACCCAAGAATCAATTGGCCCGCTGGACTTGCATTGCTCAACACGAATCGAGCTACAACACCAAGGCTGTTGGCAGCCTGAACCACAATGGCTCCCGTGACTATGGTATCTTCCAAATCAACAACTACTACTGGTGCTCCCCACCCTCCGGTGCCTTCTCCTACAACGAATGCAAAATCAAGTGTGAAGATTTCTTGGTCGACAGCATTGAACCCGCCGTCAAGTGCGCCCAATTGGTATTGAAACAACAAGGCTGGACTGCCTGGTCCACCTGGAAATACTGTGATGGTACATTGCCCAGCATTGATGATTGTTTCTAAACTGGGGAAAAGTGTTGAAATCGGATTTGAATAAAAATAAATTGATTATAAAGTAACATTTTGAAATTTGTTTTATTTTTTTCCGATATTATTTATATAAATATTAGGCATGAGGAAGGTGCATTCATTTATAAATTCACGAAGTGTATATGTCCCTGAAAAATATTTTTTTTTATAAATCCACGCCTGCTTGAAGTCCCTGAAAAATATTTTTTTATAAATCCACGCCTGGTTGAGGTCCCTGAAAAATATTTTTTTATAAATCCACGCCTGGTTGAGGTCCCTGAAAAATATTTTTTTTATAAATCCACGCCTGGTTGAGGTCCCTGAAAAATATTTTTTTATAAATCCACGCCTGGTTGAGGTCCCTGAAAAATATTTTTTATAAATCCACGCCTGGTTGAGGTCCCTGAAAAATATTTTTTTATAAATCCACGCCTGGTTGAGGTCCCTGAAAAATATTTTTTTATAAATCCACGCCTGGTTGAGGTCCCTGAAATCCATCGGCACCTGCTGCTTTATTATTCTTCAGCCGATCGATTGTTATTCTGACTTCATCTTGTCTAGGTATACACTCTATACCGCAATCTATTATTGGTTCTGGGGTATACTCTTCACCGCTACTATGTGATACCAGAAGTTTTTCAAAATGCTCTTTCCAGATCCTCAGACCGCTGTCTGTATCTGTCACCAGGTTTCCTTCTTCATTTCTATAGCAGGATGTGCCTGCACCAAAGACTTCGGTTTGGTGTTTTACCCGTTGGTAGAATTTTCGGGCTTCATTCTGACTCCTGTACATTTCGATTTGCTCACGCTCACGTTTTTCTTGTTCTTTCTTCTTTTTTCTGAAAACACGTTTCTCCTCTCTCCTTTTCTCCCGATAATTCTCCATCATTGTTACGTGTTGCTACTGTCTGCAGGGTTCCCCTATACGCTGCGTTTTTCACATCAGTAGCATTACGAGACTCCTGATCGTACCATGGGATTCTTGGTGGTGGTTTTGGTACCCAATTGTTGCTTTTGCTGAAGTTTGTAGGGAGTGGGCAATTCTTTGCCATTGTGCTTCTATATTATTATCGGAACAAGGGGTGCTTTCTTGAGCGGAGTAGGCCTCGTTGAGTTTCCGTCTTAATGCTGCTACATTAAGACGGGTGCGTACCTTGGCTACCACAAGATAATAGTCCGAATCGATATTCGCTCCTCGGATCAATCGGACGTCTAAAACACTGGATGAATGCCATCCGTCTATCACAACATGATCGATTGGATTTCTCGTTGTTCGATCGGGAGAAATACAAGTGGCCTTGTGTATATCGAGATGCTTGAATCTGGTGCTGCTAACTACCATGTTTTTTTGCTGCCGCGAAGTCAATCAACCTCATGCCGTTGTCGGATGTTTCTTCATGAATGCTGAATTTTCCGACGATGGGGCCAAAGATATTTTCCCTTCCGATTTTTGCATTAAAATCTCCTAGCAGAATTTTAATATCATGGCAGGACAACTGTCACATGCTTTTTCTAGGCGCTCATAAAATATGTCTTTGGTCTGTTCATTTTTATCTTTGGTCGGAGCATGGGCGCAAATGAGACTGATGTAGAAGAACTTCGCTTTTATACGGATTATAGCAATTCGCTCATCTACTGGAGTGAATCTGGAGACGAGGTCTTTTATTCTCCTGTTAACCATAAATCCGCAGCCGAATTCATGTCTCGTTTCATGGCAGCTATAATACAGGGCGAAATCGTCTGATTTACTTACGCCTGTCCCTTTCCATCGCATTTCGTGTAAGGCAATAATATCGGCTTTGTACTTCTTGATTACATCCGCCAAAGCGAACACTGCGTCTGTTCTGTACAACGTGCTCACATTCCAAGTGCAGATTCGCAGATCGTGGTCCTTTATACGTTTGCGGGGGTCGTCTTTGCTTTTTCATAGTAGGTTGGATTTTGCGAGAGTGGGCAACTAACCCGACGCCTCAACCTATTTTTTATAGTTCTAATGGGTGAACTCGCGGCACATATTAGCTCACTATTTCATCGGTGATGGAAAATAGCTCCACAGGTGGCACCCCTACGCCACCCTAAAGGCATTTTAAGGTCTTTAAAGGCTTCTATCGCCTAAAAAGGTATTTTAAGTCCTTTAAAGGCTTCTATCGCCTAAAAAAGGCATTTGAATTTTCTGTGGCCTAAAAAGCCATTTTAAGGCCTTTAAAGGCTTCTATCGCCTAAAAAAGGCATTTTAAGGTCTTTAAAGGTTTCTATCGCCCAAAAAGGCATTTAAAGGCCTTTGAAGGATTCTATCGCCTAAAAGAAGCATTTTAAGGCCTTTAAAGGCCTCACGCCTCGTTGAGGTCCCTGAAAAATAGTCTTTAATAAGTCCACGCCTTTGTAGGTCCTTGAAAAATTTTTTTAATAAATCCTCGCCTTTTGACATCCCTGAAAAATAGTCTTTAATAAGTCCACGCCTTTGTAGGTCCTTGAAATTTTTTTAATAAATCCTCGCCTTTTGGCATCCCTGAAAAATAGTCTTTAATAAGTCCACGCCTTTGTAGGTCCTTGAAAAAAATTTTTTTAATAAATCCTCGCCTTTTGACAGCCCTGAAAAATATACTTTTAAAAATTTACGCTTTGGATAGGTCCTTGAAAATACTTTTAATACCTTTGTTTTTTAGAGTGTATTATTTTTTGACAGTTATTAAAAAATAGTTTTAAAATATTCTATTAATTTTCTAATAGCCTAAATAATATTTTCGAAATTTTCCAATAATTAGAAAAATATTCTTTAATAAATCCACCGCTCAGTTGGCCCTTGAAAAATATTCTTTAATAAATCCACGCCTCAGTTGGCCCTTGAAAAATATTCTTTAATAAATCCACGCATCAGTTGGCCCTGGAAAAATATTCTTTAATAAATCCACGCCTCAGTTGGCCCTTGAAAAATATTCTTTAATAAATCCCCGCCTCAGTTGGCCCTTGAAAAATATTCTTTAATAAATCCACGCCTCAGTTGGCCCTTGAAAAATATTCTTTAATAAATCCACGCCTCAGTTAGCCCTTGAAAAATATTCTTTAATAAATCCACGCCTCAGTTGGCCCTTGAAAAATATTATTTAATAAATCCACGCCTCAGTTGGCAATTGAAAAATATTCTTTAATAAATCCACGCCTCAGTTGGCCCTTGAAAAATATTCTTTAATAAATCCACGCCTCAGTTGGCCCTTGAAAAATATTCTGAAATAAATCCACGCCTCAGTTGGCCCTTGAAAAATATTCTTTATTAAATCCACGCCTCAGTTGGCCCTTGAAAAATATTCTTTAATAAATCCCCGCCTCAGTTGGCCCTTGAAAAATATTCTTTAATAAATCCACGCCTCAGTTGGCCCTTGAAAAATATTTTTCAAGGGCCAACTGAGGCGTGGATTTATTAAAGAATATTTTTCAAGGGCCAACTGAGGCGTGGATTTATTAAAGGCGTGGATTTATTAAAAAATATTTTTCAAGGGCCAACTGAGGCGTGGATTTATTAAAGAATATTTTTCAAGGGCCAACTGAGGCGTGGATTTATTAAAAAATATTTTTCAAGGGCCAACTGAGGCGTGGATTTATTAAAGAATATTTTTCAAGGGCCAACTGAGGCGTGGATTTATTAAAAAATATTTTTCAAGGGCCAACTGAGGCGTGGATTTATTAAAGAATATTTTTCAAGGGCCAACTGAGGCGTGGATTTATTAAAGAATATTTTTCAAGGGCCAACTGAGGCGTGGATTTATTAAAGAATATTTTTCAAGGGCCAACTGAGGCGTGGATTTATTAAAGAATATTTTTCAAGGGCCAACTGAGGCGTGGATTTATTAAAGAATATTTTTCAAGGGCCAACTGAGGCGTGGATTTATTAAAGAATATTTTTCAAGGGCCAACTGAGGCGTGGATTTATTAAAGAATATTTTTCAAGGGCCAACTGAGGCGTGGATTTATTAAAGAATATTTTTCAAGGGCCAACTGAGGCGTGGATTTATTAAAGAATATTTTTCAAGGGCCAACTGAGGCGTGGATTTATTAAAGAATATTTTTCAAGGGCCAACTGAGGCGTGGATTTATTAAAGAATATTTTTCAAGGGCCAACTGAGGCGTGGATTTATTAAAGAATATTTTTCAAGGGCCAACTGAGGCGTGGATTTATTAAAGAATATTTTTCAAGGGCCAACTCAGGCGTGGATTTATTAAAGAATATTTTTCAAGGGCCAACTGAGGCGTGGATTTATTAAAGAATATTTTTCAAGGGCCAACTGAGGCGTGGATTTATTAAAGAATATTTTTCAAGGGCCAACTGAGGCGTGGATTTATTAAAGAATATTTTTCAAGGGCCAACTGAGGCGTGGATTTATTAAAGAATATTTTTCAAGGGCCAACTGAGGCGTGGATTTATTAAAGAATATTTTTCAAGGGCCAACTGAGGCGTGGATTTATTAAAGAATATTTTTCAAGGGCCAACTGAGGCGTGGATTTATTAAAGAATATTTTTCAAGGGCCAACTGAGGCGTGGATTTATTAAAGAATATTTTTCAAGGGCCAACTGAGGCGTGGATTTATTAAAGAATATTTTTCAAGGGCCAACTGAGGCGTGGATTTATTAAAGAATATTTTTCAAGGGCCAACTGAGGCGTGGATTTATTAAAGAATATTTTTCAAGGGCCAACTGAGGCGTGGATTTATTAAAGAATATTTTTCAAGGGCCAACTGAGGCGTGGATTTATTAAAGAATATTTTTCAAGGGCCAACTGAGGCGTGGATTTATTAAAGAATATTTTTCAAGGGCCAACTGAGGCGTGGATTTATTAAAGAATATTTTTCAAGGGCCAACTGAGGCGTGGATTTATTAAAGAATATTTTTCAAGGGCCAACTGAGGCGTGGATTTATTAAAGAATATTTTTCAAGGGCCAACTGAGGCGTGGATTTATTAAAGAATATTTTTCAAGGGCCAACTGAGGCGTGGATTTATTAAAGAATATTTTTCAAGGGCCAACTGAGGCGTGGATTT